TGTGGACTCTTCTAGCTCCTCAGTCTCTGTAACAAAGACAAACATTTAGGTCTCGATCCAAGACGAGCACACGAGTTTAACCTGATAAAAGCATCCATGGAATTAAGTAAAGGAATATGTCAGAGCTGCGAACACAGACAGTGGTGTGTGCTGCACGGGGCAATCACAGCTCTTTGACTTTCAGTATGATTCCTCCCATCAACCTCGGGGAGACTGTCCCATTGAAATTCCATCACAGCTTCCATCACGCCGGCCTCTTCCACCTCTGCTTCTGTTGTCAGTAAAGACCTTTTAATGCAGCAGTCAGACGTCAAGGCAGGGGTGTCTCAGATGAGACCTGGCTCGGTGATTGGTGTAGGTGGTGACTCTCAAACAGCACTTGGGCTTATTGGGCTGTAACGATTGTCACTTGTTCCTCAGTGTCTGACAAGACTCGCTTAAATGTGACCAATCAAATATCTCACAAATCAGCAGAGAGAAAACCGGGAAACGACGCCAGCGAGCGCCTGCCTTTTCCAGCAGCACCATCGCTTGGCTTCATGTTTATTCACACATATTCACACTAAACTCAAATTTCTCTGTCAAATACAGAAAATACATAAGGCTGCACTCATTTCTCTTTTATCCGTGGACCTCCTGTCAAAGCACATCCATGGAGGAATGCACCTTTCTCCAGTCTTATTTGTTACCCTATCTTCACCACGGCCGTTTGGCCTTCTGTCCCTCCAGAGGACATGCTCTAAACTTCATCCAGCTTATACAGAAATGTGCAATCAAGCCACGATTATTTACATGTTTTCATAAAGTTGTCGGTCCGTCCTGAGATGCTGCTCCATGCTGTTGCCTCACACTCCTGCTAAACCTGACTATAGAATTACTGCACTGCGATATATGATTACCAAATTAGACCTTTACAGTTTCGCTCTCTCCACTCGCCCACAGTCTTTTGCCCGCCTACAGATGCACTCTTCCTGCATTTTTCCTATCTTTATAAATATCATTACATCAGCTTCGCTCCCTAATAGAGATCATCTGTGCTGTGAGGCTTTTTCACATTTGTGAGCTTTTAAAAGTCAATCACTGCACAGGTTTGTCTTTATAGACACCAGAAAGAAACAATCAGTCGTTATATTCGTCTATCACAGATGTGTAGGATTGTAAAGGACAGAAGAACTCAAATACTGCTGTCTGTGTTTTCATGGTACCTAGGCTTTTCAGGGCGTGACACATCTTCACACATCATTTTTTACATATATGAGCTGAGTTCAGCTTAATGCACAACAGACTCACTAAGAACACATGCAGCACGGTAACTGTGGAAAACTACACAACTCACCACGCTGTGTATCTGCGGCTTGCGTCTCTTTGCCAGATCTATGACATTGATCCCGTTGTAGTAGAGGTTTTCCATGCAACCATTGAAGTTCTTCCTCAGAAAGGTGCCAGGCTTACCCGGCAACGGGATCCCTCCAAAGCTCAGCTTTAAAGAAGAAAATACAGGAACCGATTCACCAAGAACAACTCGTGTTTTTAACAAAAATGATGTGAAATTCAATTCATCTTTTATTGTCATTGTGCCAACACAACAACAACCAAAGTATATGCAAAATACCAAACACAAAACATAAATAGAAGTGTGTGTGTGTGTGTGTTTGTTTATGTGTGTGTGTGTTCCTGTCTAGCTATCTTTTTGAGGACCGAAATCTGCATTCTACTATACTTGAGAACCAACAGTCACTTGTGAGGACACACCCACGGTCCTCACAAGTTTGAAGCATTTTTGAGGCTCAAAATGTGGTTTTAGTGTCAGGGTTACAATTAGGTTATGGTCAGGGTCAGGCCTTGATTTTTAATGGTTAGGGTAAGGGGCTAGACCAGGGGTCGGCAACCTGCGGCTCTTTAGTCCTTATAGTGCGGCTCCGCGTGGTTTGGGAAAAATAAATTAGAAGTATTTAGCTGAAGTGTATTTTATTTATATTTGTTCTTTTTTACCTTGTAGTTCTAAATTGGAAGATTATTGTGATTTTGAAATATAAAAATAAAATTATATTCTATTATTTTTTCATCGCTCAAAATAAGCGTCACACTCGCAGAAGCCGGTGTACCCGCCGAAACGGCGTGCATTTATCGAGACTTTCAACCCCAGGTAGGCCAATTATGGATGTTCGGATCCACATCATGTCAGCAGCTCCACCGTGAACTATGTTAAAACAAACACGCTCACGCCTCACAGACGACAGCTTACAGTCCTGTAGAGATGAAAGTGACTTCGTACAGCCCCGACCTGCAGACGCTGTGCGCAGAGGTTCAGGAGCAGAAGTCCCGTTGTAAACATATCACGGCAGACCCGACGATGTTTGCATGAACACGCTTTTCAGCATCTCTTTATTGACCACTTTTCAGGTGAGTCCGCCTCCCCTGCAGTTGCGCTGCAGACCACGCCCCGCCACACACCTTAACCAGGTAAAATACATATTTAGGCAGAATTTTGCAAATATCTATTTTTCCTCTTTCAGCAGCATCGAGCTTTTTTCCAATTATTTTTTAAAAGTCAGGTCAAGGCTCCAAAAGGAGATATAAGGCTGGTGGCTCACAGCAGTTTTTGTTTGCTGGATCATTTTAGTTCAGCGTCTTTCCTTTTGTTATATTTCTTTAAGAGTTCAAAATGTGTTAATTACATAAATAAAATGTAATTTTCTCTGTAGCACTTCATGGATTTCATAAGCAACACACCTTAGTTGTTCACACAAAGCATAAAGGTAAAAAACAATATATACAGTGTTATCTTCATTTTAGATGTCAACAAGTATTTGCGGCTCCCAGAGTTTTCTTTTGCGTGGAAACTGTGTCCAAATGGCTCTTTGGGTGTAAAAGGTTGTGACCCCTGAACTAGGGAAACCATTATGTCAATGAAGGTCCTTACTAAGATAGCTGAACGGGCTTGTGTGTGTGTGTGTGCACAGGTTGGGTAATGAATGCGTTTGTGAAAAGAGGAGATATCAGCGTTTATTTATTTATTAAATCTATGGCAGATGCTGACGGAGTAACACTCAATTCAATTCAATTCAATTTTATTTATATAGCGCCAAATCACAACAAAAGTCGCCTCAAGGCGCTTCATAGATACAGAGGAAAACCCAACAATCACATGACCCCCTATGAGCAGCACTCACAGCCTCCAAAGCTACATCACACCTGTTACATGCTGTATATGACTCCCCTGTGGTCTTATTGCCGCAGCAGTTGAGGGAAGACTTTTTCCTTTGTTAATGTAACAGGAGCAAAGCACATGTTACATTTTTTCATTTATTTATTTTTAATGGAAGAACGTCCCAATCCATGCCCCAGGAAATAATGAGGAACTCCATATCCAAGCACTATGAGCTGGCATCAGGGCCTGACCTCACTAATGACCTCACTAATGACCTCACTAATGACCTCACTCTTGTGAATGAAGCCAGACTTAAAAGCTTTCTCTAACAGAGCAGCAGCATATGAAAGCCTGTTCTAGCCTGACATTCTTGTCAATAACATGTTTACGTAATGTCCCCATACAGTTATTACACATGCTGTATTTTAATCTTCATTTAAAAGAAAAACAGTTTTTAGATCTATTTTTTTCACAGCTTCTTATCAATGCTAACGACTTCACTAAACAACCATATGTTGGTTGCAAACAATTTTTAAATTAAATACTGAATTTAACTATAAACAGGACAGCTACAGTGTTAATATTGACATCAATATTAATTACTAACTGACTCATACAGCTGATAATAACAGTAACAAATGTAGCCCATATATGAACTTTGTTCCTCAAAGCAACAGAAGCAGACAAAAGCTGCTGGTTTAGCCTCCTATAATCGATCAACTACATTTCCCAGAGTTGCACATGAACATGTTTGGGTTCGTGGGAATTTGCCTCACTGCATATTCCTCTATAGCATTTATCTCTTCATGCCAACCCTGATCTGTCTATGTCTGACCCTGAGCGTCCCAAGCCAGTACTGTCCGAGCCACAGGGCCCCGCTCAGCCTGCTGTGTTCAGTCCTGCTCTGTCTGAGCCAAAGCCTGAGCCAGTAACTCCTCGCTGTGGCGGTCGGCCACCTGTGGAGCTGCTGCAGTGTCCCATCACTGTCACCGCTGGCTTCCAGAGAGTCTCCTCCATGCATGCCGTTGCCGACATTCTGCCCTGGACAAAAGGTGGGACTCCAGCTCGGTTGCTTGCCTCAGACGCTGATCAACCTGTCTAAGTGGCTCCATTATCTTCACTGTGGCTGTTGTCCTGTCCAGTCACCTGGACATATCAGCCTGGCATGGACTTGGATGCCAGACTCCATCCAAGCCACCTAAGAGCCGGCTTCCGCCCTTGTCAGCAGAGGGTCTCCGTCGCAGTGGCAGCCTCTGTCGATGTCTCCAGAAGAGTCCCGTCTCCTCCCATGTCGCCTCCGGCTCCCGGCCAAGCCACCAGAGGAGTCCGACCTCTTCAGCCATCGGTAATCTCTGGCCAAGCCTCCAGATAGGCCACGTCTTTTCCATCATGAGTTGATCTCTGCTGCTGGCCTCCCAGTCATCCTCCAGAATTCCTCTGTGTCAGCCTCCTGCTAGTTTTGTCCTCCTGGCCAACGCCCTGGACTGTTTTCTGTTTTGTTTAGACTCCACTGCATGTATGGTTTTTGGTTTTGTTCCAGATGTACTGAGGATGAACATTCTGTTCATGAATGGCTTGAATGGGTTTACAATAAATAAAGTTAGAATCACTTAAGTCCGCCAGTCCCAGCACTGGGACACGGATGTATCTCTTATTAATACACAAACCAAGCAGAGTCTGCACAGCTCTCCGTATGCTACAATAATAAGACCCCCTAGTACTGATGGGATTAAATTGTCATTTGTGAAGCATCAAATCTGGTAGAGCTAAACCTTTTCTTAAACACACTAATAGCATCGAAATTTTCTCGGTCATAAGGCTTTTGCTCACACTTTAATCTTAATAAGACTGAAGGACAGTTTCTGGGGCCATTTGTCTCGTGTCCAGAGAGGCCAAGGTTGCATAGTTCGGCTGCAGAGTTGTGAAGCGTTTACCGACTGAATCTAGGTATGTTTTTTTTTTTTTTGCTAAAATGTATCCAAGGTCTTTGGGGGTTAAAGCAAAATGTCCCTGTTTGCACAGCATACAATGCAGAGTCACACAATGTTAAATGCTGTGTAAAGGTCTGCAGAGGCTGCCAGCGTTCTTGGCAGGCAGCTGTTCTTTTGAGGAATCAAAAATGACCCGTCTGCTATTTCTGTTTCTCTCTGTTTTTCAAATGATTATTTCAAATAAAGCCTCTTTCAGGACATACACAGGCTAGAGTCTGTTTAGCACCATGAGCACAGTTCATCAGTGCTTTAATAATGACAGGGTTGTCTCATCCTCAGCAGCTAAATCCATTAACTGCTGTCTAACCTCCACTGTCTGTAATCCAGTCAGCACATGGACTCACCTCGTAGTCCACCTCCAGTGAGTGTCCTTCCCCTTTGGTTTGGAAGCGCTGTGTGTAGGAGTCCACTGTGAGGTTAACCTGCTTGTTGAAGCGCTCTATATGAACCGAGTGCCAGTGCTGGTCATCCAGCAGACTGCCCACAGTGACAGGAACACGATGGCTGCTGAACCTCGCTCTGCTATCATCTTTACAAACAGAAGACCAAGAAGACAGTGAGCAGACACATCTCCAGTAATGACGCTGTATTTGTGTATGTACAGGTGGAAGTAGGCACTGCTTCTCAAACTTCTCTCAACAAAGCCAAGCTGGTCTGTACCTTTCAGTATCGTTTGTAAGGAACAGCACTGCTCTTCCCATTCAGTGAGCTTATTATACATTCAGGTTGAGCTAATGAGAACTTAATCGTAAAGACATCCTCCAAAATATATCTCCTCTAAAGGCCCCATATCCCCTCAAACACACTCACGCTCTTCATCTCTAGCAATGACACGTCAATGTCCACAGGAACACTGGAAAAACAGAGCTCACCTAGGTTGAGGTAGAGGTCCAGTCTTCCTCTGTGAAGTTCTAGGGTGATGTAATCTCCTCTCTGCCCCTCTCCATGCAGCAATACGCCCTCGGCCTGATGGCTTTTGAAGCGCAGAGAAATCACGTCCTTGACCGTCGACATGGACTTCTGGTTGAACCGATACAGCAATGAGCTTCTGCCATCAAAGTCTGCCACGTATGACTCTACAAGAAAAGGATCAACTCTAGAGTCAGTATTACGTCAGTGACTGTAAGTAAAGGACAATTAAAGTGTGTCTAATATCTATTTGGTTGTCTTAACTCATGTGCATCTTACAAATCACAGTGCAGATACTGTCATATTTTCAGCATGAACTGGACCTGAGAGCAGACTCAGACAACTTGGTGGTTTAAACGTTTTACGTAAAGATAATCAAACGACAGGAATACATTTTCCCAACTGGTACCGAGCAGGGAGGTCATCGGAGGATGTAAACGATGGCAGAAGAGGTATTTTTAATGTCATTTTGACATCTTGCTTGTTAGTTTCCAGAACAGCGGCTTTGAACGAGCAGCAGACAGTTAGGCAGCTATCCAGAAAAAGAGAGAGTGGTTCAGTGGAGTGTGGGCAGAAGACTGGAAGACACTGGCTTTATTTGAGAAATGTGCAAGTTTGAGTGATTATCATGGATACAGGTAATCTATTATTCTGTCCATTTTAAAAGGTGCATCAACGTAATGTCCCATTGATGGAAGCCAAACGTTCTGGAACATACTGGGCAGACAGGGTTCTCCTCCTGTCTGCAGGGTGGCAATTTTGTTCAGCAGTTCGAAGAAGAACTGCGATAGCCTGCTTCCATGCACATGTTGGCAAAGATAGTGTTAAACCGATGGCACAGTCACTGCCTTATAGAATGGGGAACAATGGAAGCTTTAAGAGGCTTAAGAGGCTTTAGAAGAGCAGTGACCAGTTGCAGAGGAGGTAAATGTATTATGCAGATATTCTAACCAGGCCAAATGAGAGCTCCAGGACCATGGATCTGATAACATCAAACACCATAATGCTGTTCCTAGTTTTCACCATTTCTCCATTAGATTAAGGATCAAACTAAGTTTAGCTTTCAAAGATTTTTGAGACCTGAGAGACAAAGAGGGGACCTCCATTAAATGCCACAAGGAATGCCATAAAGCTGGAACACATGATTAACCAGTTTGCTGTTTCAATGACAGTAGGTCTCTTAGAAATCTGTATATGATGGCTAGTATGACTTTGTTACTTCCGATCGAGGCAGGCCACAAAAAAATCGGAGGTTCTGTAAGTGCCAATACGGCAATAGGGAACAGGAAGAGGAACAGCTGCAACAAAAAACCCAAGTTTGACGCTTCTGTGCTTAGCAGTTATAGACCAATTTCAAAACTACCATTCATTGCTAAGATTTTAGAAAAGGTTGTGGCTACGCAGCTTATAACTGTTCTGGATACACTCTGCATAAATTCATCCGCGGAGCCCACTCTACTGAAACTGCACTTCTTAGAGTGTTCAGTGATGTCTTGATGTGATGAGGAGAATGCTCCGTTTTGCTGATGTTGGACCTGACCTCTGCCTTTGATACTGTTGATCATCACATTTTGCTAGATGGGCTGAGACACTGGGTGGGTTCCTTTGAGCCCCAAGATGTTTCCAAACTACAGATTTTGCATAGGTGCATAGACTCCATTAGAGGTTGGATGACTGATAACTTTTTTCTACATAATGACCAGAAAACCAAAGTCTGTTTGTGCTCCTACCAGGAATCTTGGAGTTCTTTTCAGAGCTCTTTTACATCCATACCTCCCCAGCAGGTCCCTGAGGTCATGTGATCAGGGCTCGCTGGTTGTCCATCATACGAGGCTGCTACCAAAAGGTGACAGAGCTTTTGTAACTGTGGCCCCAAGACTGGAGCTCTCTCCCTTTGAGCTTGAGATCTGTGGACTCAGTGGTCTCTTTTTTAAAAACAGCTAAAAACTCATCTTTTTAAACTTGGCTTTGGTTAATTTTTTTTTCATGTTTTATTTTCTGTGAAGCACTTTGTGATTGTTATCAAAGGTGCTAAACAAATAAAATTGTATTACTCTTACTTACTAACTGACCTACTAGTTCCAGTTTTACTCCTGGCACATTTAGTACTGTCCAGGCTAAGATATATTCTATGGCACTGAAAGAGTGAGGAAGGATCTTGGTTCAGGAAAGCTGAAATCTGTGGAGAACTGTCAGACGAGAGCTTCAGGTTAATATTTTGGAAACCCGCACAGTACGTGATTATGAAGGTAAACCAACTAAAAAGCAACTGGTACCTAGCCTCTCTTGGGTTCAGGCATTTGGCATTCTGCAAATAAAACATGTTTTTTAGTATGTGTCCACACAATAAAAAGGCAATTCGGCCCCACCAGCTCGTTCAGCTGAATTCATTCAGCACCAGATAACAAAAATAGTAAGGTAAAAGCCTCGAATAATAGAGAGAAAATCCCAATTATCAGAGGACCCTCTATGAGCAAGTATTTGGCATCAGCAGAAATGAAACACTCCCTGTGATCGGTCGGGGTTGGGAGAAATGACAAAAGACACACTGTGCAAAAAAGCCAGAGAATAATAATAACTAATGATTAAAATGCTTTATAAACACATAAAAAGTTAAAAAAGGTAAATGTTTTTTGGAGTGCATCGAAGGAAAGGTTCAGGGTCACTTGATCCAGCCATTACCAAAACTTTTATCCAAAAGAAACTATTTAAACTGAACTTTAAAAGTTGACAGGATGTCTGTCTCCCCAATCCAAACTGGGAGCTGGTTTCACATAAAAAGGGGCTGAAGTCTCTGCCTTCCTTTCCACTTAATACTAAATATTACAAGTAAGCCTGCAATCTGAAAGGAAACTGCTCTATCGGGGGTGATACGGTACTATGAGGTCTTTAAGATATGATAGGACCTGATTAATCAAGACCTTGTATGTGAGTACTTTATATAGGATTTTACATTTCATTGTAGATTTAACAGGGAACCACTAAAGAGAAACTAATATGAGAGCAATATAATTTGTCTCTGTCCCCGTCAGTCCCTTTATTGCAGTATTGTGAAGTCTTTACATGGAGCTGTTAGAACGAGCTGATAATAATTATATATAATTGTCCAAATCTAGAAGTAATGAACTTTAATTAACTGGTTTTTGCAGCACTTTAAGACAGGATGTTTGTAATTTTAGAGATATTGTGTACATACAAGAAAGCATCCCTGCATATTTGATATGTAGGGACATAGCGTGGTCAAAAATTACTCCAATAACCTCAGTTTTTATTTTAGAAGCTGGAAATCAGAGGTCATACAGATCATACTTTAATGCAGGGGTGGGGAACTCTAGACTGCAGGTTTTAGATCTCACCCTGGGTCAGCACACCTGAATCAAATGATAAGTTCATGACCAGGCCTCTGGAGAACTTAAGACACATGTTGAGGAGGTCATTCAGCTGTTTAAATCAGCTGGGTTTGATCAAGGACATATCGGAAATGTTCAGGACACCAGCCCTTGAGTTCTCCCACCCCTGCTTTTAGTTATTCCTGCAATTTAACTAATTTGTGTTTGTCCTCATAGACAGACAAAACTGTGCATCATGGCTATCATGTAGGTATTATTTGCATAGTAATGGAAGTGTATGATATATCTAATAATACTCCCTAAGGGAAGAATAATATAATGTAAATAGAATTGGCCCCAATGTAGGATCCTGTGGAACTCCATAATTAATGTGTGAAGGTTTTCCATTTACTTGGGTAAACTGGAGTCTAATAGATAGATATGATTCAAACCTTTACCACTGGGACCACTGTTACCTTCACCCTCTACATCTTCTCGAGCTGTTCTCTGAAGCCTTGGTACTGCACGAGCTTCTCGTGTTCCTTCTTCCTGATGTTGCTGTCAATTGGAACCGCTACATCTATCACTACAGCCATCTTCCTCTTCTTGTCCACCACTACTATGTCTGGTTGGTTAGCCATCACCATTTTGTCCCTCTGTATGTTGAAGTCCCACAGGATCTTAGCTCAGCCATTTGCCACCACCCTAGTGGGCGTCTCCTGAACATCGTGGATTGTCGTTGTCTCATGCGACACTCACCAGTCCCCGGCCTCCTTCCTTCCACTTAGCGTACAGCCAAGTGCTGGACTTGGGGTGAAACTAGGGCTGGGCGATATGGCCTAAAATCCATATTACGGTATAATTTGAAGCATGTGCGGTAACAATATATATCGCGATATATTCTTTTCTTCTGTATAACGTATTTTACACACTACAAGGCACACTTAAAATGCTTTAATTTTCTCAAAATCGACAGTGTGCCTTATGTATGAATTCTGGTTGTGCTTACTGACCTCGAACCGATTTTATGTGCTACACGGCGCGTAGAAATCTGTCCAAAAATGTTTTAGTCCGACTTTGGTAAGCTACGAAGCCGCACTGCCTGATGGATTGTCGGAGCATTACAGCTGCCGTAGTCAGAAACCTCGCAGAGTATTCTGGGTCCTAAACTCCGTCTCCTTCAGGTCCCAAAGTCAAACAAACACTGTGGCATCACTGAGAGTTGAAAAACTGTCTAAATTCTTTCACCTTTAATAAAATGATCAGCGTTGCTGCTTTACCAGGTGTAACAATTAAGTTTAACATCCAGGCATCCATGAAAACAGAATTTATTCAAATCAACGGAGTTGGAAGTTAGCAGGAAGTTAGCTCGCTAGCTTCCACCTAAACATGATATAGCATGTTCTGACTGAGAGATTTCTGAAAAAATTAAAACGTACAGCTCTGCTATCACTTCCAACATAAATGAAGACAGAAAACTAAACAGCAGTGGCGTTTGTAGGGTTACTGAAGCTGGACTAGCTTGTATATAATGATGTCCTGTACGTGACTGCTAGCAAAACAGCTACGTTAGCATAACATTAGCACAGTGAAGCTGGAGGATGAACGCCAATTTTTTTCCACTCGATAAAAGTTAACGTGAAGGTTCCTGATTGTTAGAGACAAATGAAATCGCATAGCAGGATGCTGTAAACAGACCAAACTTCAGTCAGGAGAACAACTGAGATAATCCATCCACAGTACGAGGTTAGTCATTAATGTACTGCAACAACATGGGAATAGAGCAGCTGTGATAGAATACCGCATTAATGTATCAATGGTAGCGAAGTGGAGGAAGC